CACACACACACACACACACACACACACGCACGCACGCACGCACGCACCCACCCACCCACCCACCCACCCACCCACCCACCCACCCACCCACCCACGCACGTGTGTGTGTGTGTCTGTGTCTGTGTCTGTGTCTGTGTCTCTGTGTGTGTGTTGGTGTTGCTCAGACTGCGCCATGCTTCTAACTTTCCGTGTCAGCCTGAGATGCGATGACCTGTGAGCTGCCGTCGATACACACGAGTACTGAATAGGAGGTTGTGGCCCCCTGCCTGGGGCCTCTGTGTCGTTCGACTCGTAGCTGTCTGCGTCACCTGCAGCGTGCACGTTGCTTAGACGATTTGAGGCTCCTTGTATCTTGCGAGGCTTCGGCTTGGATCAGCTCGTGGCACAAGTTCGTGATCATGATCTGGCCAGACGCCCGGTTTAGGGTTTCAGTACTCACAAGGTTTAGGGTTTAGGGTCGAGGGTCCGGCCTCCTTCACCTCCAGGTTCCGTCGCAAAGTGGACACCTTTCTTGTAATCTGTAGTCTACTGATGCTAGGGTGCTTCGTTCTCACGCTACTTTCCTCGGGAAATCCAAACCGGAGGGCCTCCTCCAGCTGTTGCCGTCGCAGGCTTTCTGCCTTCGGAGTCTAATCACTAGCTTATTGACTTGATGGCCTCTTCCGCAGCATGCGCCTGCTCTGCTTTTTGCGCGATCGATGCCTGTTTCATGTTGCTTCGAATGATGTTCTGAGACCAACCACACCTCCACCCTCTGGACCCCGAACCTCTGTGGCTTCCAGGTGCTGCCGCAACTCTTGCACCTGCCAACCAAAAAAAGTGTAGACAGTCAGGGGCCAGTTTCATCTGCAGCTTCGCTCACCTCCCTCTCCCACCCGACCTGTGCGGCCTCGAGCCGCCACTCATGCTCCTGCTGCCCGAATCGAGCTGGGGGGGGTTGGGTTGGGGACCGGTCAAATTGCCCAGAAAATCCTAACGGGTGAGATGCAACAATACACAAGTGCTGTAAGGAGCGGAGCCCATACCCGAAAACTGTGCTGCACACGTGCCTTCTCTGCTGTAAGCGCGATCTTCGATGCCTGCTTCATGTTGCTAATTTAATACTAAACTCTGCGTGTCTGTGCTTGGTCTCAGACGGCTCCACCCCCCGAGGCCTCCGCGGTTTCCAGGTGCTGCCGTAACTCTTTCACCTGCCAATCGACAAGCGCAGACAAGCCTCTTTCATGTGCCCCCTCCCCCGCGACCTGTGCGGCTTCTTCCAGCTGCCCCTGACCGGATGAAAACACTTCTTGTTGTCTCTCTCAGAACCGGACCGATTGCCTCTTGCTTCGCGGAAGCCAGCGAGGCCTCTGTCATGTTCAGGATCAGGGTTCAACAATCTCATGCAAGAGGGAAGCGCGCCTGTGCTTCGGCCGCCGCCACGGCCTCCTCCTGCACCTCCTTGCGGAGGTCAGCCTCGGCTCCGTCATGTGTTCTCAGGCTTTGCTGAGCTCGATTCCTGGGTCAGGCGCCTGGACAGCTTTCATCCTGTCCTGAGCTTCCGTGGCGTCCCGGATGCCCCACTCCATTGCCGTGACCAAACGCCTGTAGCGCTCCGTCTCCTCCTCCTCTATACACTTAAAAGAGAGACGGCTTTTCGGCAATGCAAACACTGATTTGGTCCTGCTCCCTTTTCTCGGTCTCTGCGCGGCTCCGCGCAGAAATGGCCTCCTCCTGATGTGGCATTTGTCGGATGCAAGAACCAGGAGATCAAGCTCGAAGTCCTCGGCTTTCGTCGCACACAGGAGCTCGGTCTTCCCCTGGATGAGCCGGTCTTCCTGACATCAGGATTCAGCCCTTATCTCCTGTCCGATCTTTGAAGCCTGAGAACTCCCGGCCTTGCTTGCCTGAAGGTTCTCGAATTTGTTGTACCACTGGCGACCGCGCTTTATCTGCTCGCTGCAGTCGTCCTGGGATCACAATTAGGACAACAGAGGATTTCGATGGACCCTGGTTTCGATAGCCCTGGTCGCCTGCCTGCTCCAGCTTCAGTCGTTTCTCCAGATCCTCCACCTGGTGCCTGTGCTCGGCCTGTCGGGGACGAGACTTATGTAGAATCAAGCTCGCTGCACTGGTCCTGGGATCACATGTTGCAACAACTTCAGCTGTTCCTGTAGCTTCTCCATCTGCTGGCTGTGCTCCGCCTGTCGGGGATGAGACTTACGTAGAACACAAAGCTGGCTCCTTGCCTTTGACATCTCGAGCTCCCGGAAGCTCTTGTCGCCGTCGGCCTGCACAGGATCTCATATGTCGTGCAACGCAGGATTCTCCTATTATTGACTGCTGGCCTCGGTCTGTGCCAGCTGCTCAGACAGCGCCGAGTGTTCGGACTGTACCTTCTCCAGCATTTTGTGCTGACCGGCGAACATCTCGGTGTTCATGCGGAGAAGAGTTCTCTGCGCACTCTCCTCTGCCACCGCCTCCACGTACTCGGCACGTGCGGAAGCCATCGAAGCGTTTTCTGCGCTGAGGGCGCTGTTCCGCAGCCGCAACTCCTGGATCTCCTGACGCATTGGCTGCCTCTCCTCCTCGCGTCTGCGCCGGCAGGCGCCTGCCTCCTCCTCCGCTTCAGCACCTGGCACTGGCGCTGCCTGGGGCTTCCCTTTGCCCTTCTGAACCTGCCCTTTGCCGCCCTTGGCCTTGGCCTTGGCTTTCTTTTCCGGGCGGCGAGAGCCATCACTGCCGCTGTGCCAGCCACGTCCATCGTTCCAGCCTCCTGAGCCTCCTCCCGACCAGTCGCTGCTCCTCCAACCATCGGCCATGCTTTCTAGCTGGTATAGTGCTGCTGCTGTTGCTGCTGCTGCTGCTCAGGTGCTGCTGTTGCTGCTCAGGTGCTGGTGCTGCTCACGTGCTAAAGCTGCTGCATAGTGAGGTGCTGGTGCTGCTCACGTGCTAGTGCTGCGCAGGTGCTGCTGCTCAGGTGCTGGTGTTGCTCCAGTGCTAGTGCTCAGGCGCTCTATTCAACAGTCACAGACGTAGTCTGCTGATGCTGCTGTGTTCGTGCAAGTGTCGGAGTATGGAAAGATGAAAGCTTGCATGTCTTGTTAGATACAGAAGATAACACAAGTGAGCTTGCATGTTTTGCTCGAAATGGGCACATTCTTCAGACCAGTACATGTACATCTCACACATGGTGCGGCATGCGTGTCTGCTTGATCCACGCTAGCCCTAGCGGAGGCTTCGGAATTGCAGCTCG